CGGGGTGCGGCCTGATCTGTGTCTTGAGCAGTTAGAGCAGGCCGGAAAGGGCTATCCGAGGGGGAGGGAGGCAGAGTTTAAGTTGGGCAGTGGCCTGATTAGAAAGATGACTCTGACAGCGATGTCACTGGAGGGGGCCCGAATGGAGAGAGGGAATAGCAGTTAGGAGGCTGTTTTTGTTATTAGGCTGGAAACAACAAAGGTTTGAATTAAGCTAATAGCAGTAGGAATGGAGAAAATGATGGAAACTGTTATCAACAGGGGTGAGAAAGATAATCAAATGGGGGTATTAAAGCACACAAAGGAAAGAACACGACCAGTCCATATCTTTAGAACAAAGTCATATGCAATCTTTTTCACAATGTAAGAAAAAAGTTAACTTCTTACTCTCCTTTAAGAAAACTAGGTTCTGGCATAAAATACAAAAATACCCAACTGCATTATTTAATTCACATTTCCTGCCAGCATTACCCTCCTCCTCCAAGGGTCTCCCAAAATGCTAGTGCCCAAAAATGATCATAATGCTAGAACTGGCAGATTAAGGTTCTTGGCTTCTCTTCCAATCACTGTGTCTGGGAGATTATCCAGCCCACAAATATACAAGTTCTACCACATCAAGAGGTTCCAGCCCTATTAGCGGCTTGATTTCAGAGTGGATCTAATGCCTTTAAATAAGGAGTAGGAAAGACACTTTCTAAGTGGACCATACATTATTACTTTCCCTGCTTATCTCACTGGCTTTTTAGAGACCATATCAACTAAAAGTGCTAGCATTTTATGAACTATAAAACATCTGAAAAGGAATATTTACAAATCTTGCAAGCAGATTCATTTCCATTCAACAAAGAATTCTGTTCCTGGGCAAACAGCACATACACAAGTCCTACCATATGTACTGTTGATGCCTGGACTGCCAAAGGAAGTGTATCTGCCTCGGCCCCAAATTTAAAATGGACTATAGAAATTTATTTGGTTGTGATTTCTTTTTATGTTCTAAAGCAACTTTTCTAACAGTCTCTAGATAGCAAGAATCATCAGAGGCAATTCACTTGAGGCTGGCCCTTTCCTGGGTGTGTGTGTGTGTGTGTGTGTGTGTGTCTGTGTGCACACATTGCTACACCTAACTTTTCTGGTTCTCTGGTCAGTGACCCACTCATTCACTAAATGTCCTCTAGCTAAAGGTGGCCAGAAATGTTAGCTGTGGAAAAAATTAGGCAGGGATAAAAATAAGGGTATGGGATTATGGGTGGAAGCCCTGCAAAATGACTAATGCCCACCCTGCCCAGAGCCTCTGCAGTGACTTGTTCATGTACCTATAAAATGAGTAGGTACAGAAATTTCTAAAACTTCTTTGTAAAAAAATTTAAGTAAAACAGTCAGAGTGTACGAAAACAATAAAACAGCTTTTCCTTTGACCCCCAAGGCCATTCTAACTCATTTTAAACCAGTTTGCTGATAAAGAATTTCCTTCTAAATTGAATATGCCCTTAGTTTTTCCATCTGTATAAAAGTTTATCCATATAAAAAATGAATTACATTAAATTTTGGAATTTGATGTTTATGAGCAAGTTTACCCTACCTTAACTCTTGGTATGTTTGTAGATTTTATTTTGTTCACTTTCTCAGTTTAGTACTTAGAAGAAACACTCTTATTCAAAAGAGAATGCCCAAACTATTAATTTTAACTATCGGTTAAGGAGATTATTTTATTACTTTTAGTATCATTCTCTGGAAGGAATGTTTCCAATATGTACTTCATATGCAAACCAAACTCTAGGATATAATTATTTTAAATCCTACATTTTGTATTTATATATATCATCTGTGTGTGAGAGTACTGAAAAAACCAACAGTCTGATCTTGAATGGTCTGGTAAACCATTGTTAAAATCACTCAACACACTCACTGAAAGAGAATGCTTCTTAAAATTTACCCTCTTTCTCTCTGAAGTTAATTCTAAAGTTATCCTTGTAGTCTGAGGTCAATGAAATATTTTTCTTTACTTGTAACTATCATTCTATAGACCAGTTATTGTCAAAATTCATATCAAGATAAATCTAAAGTTAGAAAGCCCTTCCTTTAGGTGCTCGTAGGCTCATCACCTATGCAGTGAGCTGCTTTCCCTTGGGAAGTACCTATTTTCTACTTCCTGATTGTAAGATATTATTGAAAGGTCACCAATAGGTCTCTAATCAATTAAGTATAACTTCAGAAAGATTCAAAGCAACTCCTTAAGATACAACCCACTGCTCAGGAAGTAGCTTTGCACAAGAACCTGGTTCAATAGCTGTAGGATTTGATGACTCTCTACCAAGCTTCCTTTATATCCCTTTCGATCTCAGGGATGGTGTTTGTGCAGTCTTTGCACTTTCAGCTCTTTTCTTGCCCAGGAGCTGACATGTGCTGTCTAATGGAACACTCCCTAGTCTGTACACACTCGATGGATGTTTACTTAGGTAATGCATTATTCTGATGACTTTTCTGATCTACATAACCTCAACCAACACCATCAATTCTTCCTTCAAACCAACAATAAATAACAACAGCAGGAAATTTTACTCCATAAAGCATTGATATTTTAATGAGGAAAAAAACCCATATCTTAGTCTTATGTTTCTATTCAAAGACACTCAAAAACTAGTTTTTCCCTGCCCATCCCTTCTAACTGTAACTTTGTGACCATGTAATAAAGGCCAGTTTAAAGATATTTTTTTTTAAAAAGTTTAAACCTTTTTAAAAAAGATTAAACAACCAGGCTAGCAAAAAGGTACTCAATACATACTTTCCTTATATCAAACAAGCTAATATTTCAGTACAATGTAACTATACAGAATATATACAGTACACGTATGTTCACAAAGCAAACACTATAGGCTCAGAACAGATTTGAAAAACATGATATTCACATTGATTACAGTAACTCTAAAAATGATTGTTACGTTCAAACGGCACTTAGTTTACAAAAAAGTCACAAAAAATATATATATATATTCATATATGTAGTTGTCAAGAACTATGGTTCCTATAAAATACTAATAGCCAGATACTAATATATAAAATGTAAAGTCTGACATGGTATACATAAAACAAAACAAAATCCAAAACCATTTTTGTTATTATTGAAAGTCAAACATGCCAAGTAACTTAGCTATGGCCACTGTCACCAAGTAAAAGCCATACTTGAATGAGATGACAACTGGATACAAAGCTGGTGATTTGGGGGCTGGCACAGTTAAGAGTTGTACTGGTTCTAGGAGAGGGGTAGAAGACATAAAAACACCCATCTACATAACTCATATTTCCTCCCCAGCATTACCCTCACCAAAGTGTTTCATAAAATGCCAGTGCCCCAAAAGAATCATAATGCTATAACTAGCAAGGTACAAAAGTTTCCCCCAAACTTCATTGATATGGGCTATAGGCAAATGTTAAAGCATGCATCAGATAAAGCAGTCACCCATCTGGAAGACGGTGGTGGTGCAGTTTCCTCCTGGGCTAGTCGTACTAAAAAGTACTCCAGTTTTTAAATGGAGCCAGATTTATATGTTAGCTCTGTAAAACACTGAGCTAATGTAGCAGCAAATATGAAATTATTGAAACAAAAACACAATTTTATTTAAAAATTCACTTGTTACATCAATTTTTTACCTTCACATCTGTCTCCTTTAACCAGATATCAATTTCTTCTGTCACTGAATTATGGTCTATTATCTCAATTTTCCTCATTATGTTGATGTGGAAAAAGACAAGTCCTAATCCTGGAAAGTTTAAATTTACTCTTAAAAATGGGAATACAGGTATTTTAATGTTAAAAAAAAAAAAAAGTCTGTTCTAAAAGTATCTCTCACAAATATATATATTTAATTATTAAAATAGGCTACATAGGATTTTTATAAAATGGCTTTTGAAAAGATAGTAGCGGCACCAAGAAGCCATTTACTATCCTCCCACTGGACATAAGGTGCCGTAAGGGTGCCCTACAAAGAGGCAGGCAATCTCTATCTGATGCAACAGGAGGCATCAGTAACAGAAAAATCAAATATATTATTAGGAATTGGACTGAAAACCAAATTTTACCCTTTTAGGGACTGTTGTTTTTAAAAAAATATCTTGAAGTATAGGCATTAGAAACCATCACTTTGTAAAAGAAAGAAAAAGAATAAAGTTTAATGATCTGACTTCTTCCAAATACCTGATGGTGTTCATTTCAGGCACCTGAAAGATGGAAAACAGTGCAACTCCCAATAACTTAATGGACTACTCTCAGTATGAGAGACTTCACATAGCATCTGTCGACTGGAAAATTCAATTGATAACTGAAATAAAAGAAAGTTCTTAGAGGAAACACACTTATAACCTAATCACAGAAAAGGTTCTCTCTAAAAAACAGGTGTTTCTAGGAACTGCAACTTCCCATCTTTAAATGAACACAGCATCTATTAATACCAAGGGAAACAACGTGTGTGAGATGACTGGCTCCTCTCAAAGTAGGGAAGATTTAGCCTTCCTCAGCAGGTGACGTACTTTGGTAACCTGAACATGGATTTACAGGAAGATTTTTTAACTTGTTTAACTGAATAATGAAATCTAAATATGGTTAGATGGCATTTGGAAAAACAAGGACAAATAAAACTTATGAAACTGCAGCCCTTCAAACCATCAAGCAGCAATTTTATTAAAAAATCATCACAGTTAAGCCCAGGGCTTTAAGCTTAATCAGCAAAATCAGTCAACTGAAAAGAGGGTAATAATCAAAGAATTTGATTTTATAAACCAGGCACTTCAAACTGAAAAAAATTGAGTTTAATTTTTAAAACAGTTGTTGTTTTCTCTCAACGGTCTGAACTCTTAAATTCTTTGCAAACTATTATATAAACAAGAACCTTGGTCTTTGTAGGAACTGGCCTAGGTCCTATATAGAGGGAGCCTATTTAATTACAGCAGCACAAACACTTTAAGGCAGTCGCATTTTTTGGATACTGCCAAACTGAGAGTCCAATAACATCGCCTGACATGGACCTATGATTTTTTTCTATCATGAAAATATAATCACTATGACGTAGTGGAAATGTCTAACTGTATTAGTTTAGTATGAAAAAAAAGTACAACTATGATGTCACCAAGAATCTTTATTCCATAATCTGACATAGACTTAATACCCTATTAATAAATCTCAACATATTTATAATCTAAAAATGAAATATCTATATAGTGTCTGTTCTTTAGTTGAACCGGGAAATCGGTTCAATTCAACTTGTTTAATGTGAACCATTATTGCTTTTGGCAAATTTGTCTTGGTGAGGACTTTCCAAATTAAAAAACAAAACAAAACAAAACAAAACTCTATTGTCACCATATTCTATTAAGCAACTGAAAGATAAAAATGGGTATAGGCAAAATAAGGAATGACTTAAATTTTGATGATTTTAGCTTAAAGCCTGTAGGACTATATTTAGCTATAAATATTCCTCATAGATGTGTTTACTGTACTAGAGCTTTCCCAATTTTGTTTCTCTGCTTCAGAAAATTGTTTCTATATATTCTTCTCTCAGTAACTTTCAAAATATAAATATAAATAAAGCATCTTTCAACTTACAGTGAAAAAACCACATTATCTTTTAGCAACTTTGGGTCACTTCCAAAGTGAACTTTACTAGTGCCCCCCTCCCTCAATTAATATTAACATCTAGAAAACTATTTTCTCTTCACTTGGATGTATATTTCAGAGTTCTAACTTCACATTTTGCAGATGAGTGAAAATAGAGTAAGTGCTGCATAAAAGTTTCTAATTCTCATCAATTCCTCCCATCTCAACCTCCTTTCAGTAAAATATTACAATTTTAGGACTATTCATTCATCAAGTAAAAGGAATAAATCTCTCCTTGTGGTACACTAGTACAAACTGCCATACAATAATGTATTTTTTAGGGACTACAAAGCTAAGAGACTAAAACATGATCTGGGAATCTTCAAAATAAAAGTCACTAACTAGATAGGTGGCCTCTATTTGAATAAGAAGAGATAAAAGAAAAGGCCTTTTGAAAGAATACAGCTTTCAAGGCCTCCCAGAAAACCATTTTAAAAATCGGGAAAGACTGGCTCAGAAGTTAGAGAAGGTAACAGAGTTACCAATGATAAGTACATTATGTGTGCTGACTAGTCCATTCCATTTGGGTAATGGAAGTGTTTTTGTTTTGTTTTTAAAGCCAAAGGATATGTCGTAGCTAAATTACTGTAAGCCAGAATGGTTGCTAGAATGCTAAAATATAAGACTGAATGAGGCTATTTAAACATTTTAGTATATTTTGTCTCACTGAAACTGAGTACTTTAAAAACTGGCAACGTACTAAATGTATAATTACTTGAAATAAAAATTAAGATTACTTGAAATTCAAATTTAGAAAAATCTACTTAATTTGTGGGTAACAAACTCCATCTGCTTCCCTTTATAGAAAACTTAAAATTCAGAAAAATAAAAACCAATATTAACCCCTTTGTTTTAGAATCAGTACAATCACCTGACATGCTAGATAGATGCTTCCACTATAGGAATATGCCCTCAAAAATGGAAAGAATGACTAGAAACTGTATATCCAGTATCATGGCAAACATCTTGGCTCATTTCTAAAGTATATCATACCTATTTGGTAGCTTAAAAATTGAAAATAAATGCTTTTCTTGTATAAAATACTTGGTTTTAAAAAGGCAATTTATCCTGTATCCTAAAATTTAAGCCCTTTTAAATTATCACAGTTACCCTCGTGGGCCTTAAGATAGCTACATTTAAGTATTCTAAACTGCAATTTTTTATGTTTAGTTTTACTGGTAGTTTCTAATGAATGAGATGATGTAACTGGCTTTTTTTTTTTTAAATCTCTTTGCAATGTTTTCTATATATTCTGGTAAAAATTATACATTTAAATATCCCTCTCTTAGATGAATTTTAAATAAATCTAAATAACACAAAATACAATTATCCCTTGCAGCTTAGTTTCTGACAACAAATTGGTAAGCTAAATATTCTTAAACTGTGTTAAGAAAAATGTAGAGCCTCCCTGAAATAGCAAAAAGGCCTTTGTTTATATCATGTTATGTTAAATACTAGTTAGTTAACTGTATAGATAAGATTGGGGAATAGACAGCTAACCAAGTTTGCATTTCCACAGTACTATATTTAAATTTTTCATAAAACTTGTAAATTTTTGCAATTTATAATTACCAATGGAAATCTAAAATTTTTTTTTGGGGTGGGGGGGAGAACAGCCAGTGGTGGTAATATTATATTCTGAGAACAAAGAATATCTTGGACCGTCAAAACTGTGCAGGGTTCTCTTAATGTAGAGGACAGGAGATGTGCTAAAACACGTTTAACAAAAAAATCTCCAAATGATTCCAAGACATTTCTCTAATGCTACTTTTTTCCTTTTTTCTTCCTTTTTTTTTTCCCTTTTTAAAGATAGCTTGTAACTGAGGAGAACAACATTGCTGGTCATAATTCTACCTATTCTTTGTCTTGTTCACATAAGATTTTAAAATTAACTTTGACATTTATCTACTGGTAGGCATAATAGTTTTCAAAAAATATATATGACATTAAAAATAAAAATTCCTGACCTTTCCAGTTGAAACACAGCAGTACTGTTACTAGTTAAGTACCAGACTGCTGCAGAATGTAATTCAACCATATTAGTAAAGATGCATAAATGGTGTAAGCTCATCAGGAAAGTTGACTTTCCTGAAGGTGATACACCTATATTTGAGAACAAAGGGGTGAAAACAGGTTCACGAGTGAAATAAGGTGTTGGAAAAAATATAAAGACAGAATGTGGAGACAGAAAGAACATGAGCCTAAACAAATCTCCAATGAGTTTACTTTCCCTTCTTTTACATTTGTAGGGGGTAAAATAAATGATAGAATTAGCAAATTTAAAAAAATAAAAATAAATAACTAAAACTTAAAAATATATTTTATGATTACGGTCTAATACCTGGACAAAATTCAGATCATGTGTGTTGAGCAAGAAACTATATTTTTTTCTGATCTAATCAAGGGCTTTCATAATTATTAAACTTTGGGTATATACATAGAGTCATTCAAAAGTTCACTGTTCATGAACTCATGAATATTTAGGATCAATGTCAGTGATGCTTTAAATGGCACTAGATTAAAAGTATACTCCAGCTTAGAGTATCATAAATTTCAACTATAATAAACCAGTAAGTTTTGTTTTTAGCAGCAAAAGAGGTGATATTCATTAATTTAAGGTTTTTAGTTTTTCTTTAGTCTTAACAGTTTTCCCCCAGACTTATGTCATAGATCATTTTATAGCCTTTCCTTGTCTTTACATTATTGCTTACACTGTGTAAAACTACACTAACTGCTTTTAATAAACTTGGCAATGTCCAAAAATATTTTAGAACAAGGACAATGTATCGCTGTCATATCGGATTTTTGTAAACAATCTTAGTTGGGTAAAGAATGTAGCCTTAACACAGAATTCTTTATTTTGTCCAAAAGAGCACAATAAAAATATCCTCAACAATACATAATCCTACATATAAAATATAGAATATCTCCAATATTTATATGGTATCACGCCAGTATATGCAAGAGAAAGTATTATTGATGAGGCAAGAGTAAAAATGATTTAGGCAGTGACCTAATTAGTCAGGCATTAACATTCAAAGACCAGGTAAATAACAATTTTAGTCAGAAAAGCAGGATTAAAGAATCTATGAAGCTGGGATTTACATACTACATTCTCCATTCCTGGTCATTTCATGCATAGCTTGACAATTCTCAATCATGTTCTTTGTCTTCTTTTATAGAAGGAAGACAGATTATTTGAATGAGTGGTACTATAAAGGTACAGAGGGAATGCCTACTCCAATATCAAATTTTCATGAAAAATAAGAAATGACAAAGCTTAAAAAAAAAAAGTACACTGGATTTCAGAAGTATTTACTCTAATAATTTTTAAGAAAGCTTACCATAAATACTTCTCAAAACAATAACTTTATAAAATATTGTACAATGTCCTGTGTATAAGAGTAAACATCTATTCAGGTCATTTGTCAAATTCTTTTCAGTAATTTGCTTCTGGTGTACCATTTCATCTCAGGAAGGTCAATGTTCATCTGATTTCTTCTTTATCTAATGATCTATTGTTAGCCTACTTTTAATAATGGAAGAAGAAACTGATATATGTTTTAAGTCAACTGGTTCTCCTTTCTATTGTTTCAACATCATGTTATTGTGCACTTATAGAGGCTTAATCTCTCAGACATGAAAAATAAAACATTAGTTGCAGGGTTTACAAAGTAAAAAGGGAAATTCTTTCTAAACCCTTTTTTGTTTAGAAAATTAAATTAAATTTAAATGTACAAGACCAAGCACAGGCACTTTCCAAAAACCTAAAATGAAGCCAAACCACAAAATTACTCAATAGTTATAGAAGAAAGCTCTGATTTGGGGGGGTCATCTCTGGTTGCCTCGGCACAAGCACTGGTCTTTGTCTGCTCTGGCATTTCTTCCTCCTTTTCTGCCAGCCCACCAAGAGACCCCAAGGGAAAAGTGCTTTCACAATTCTGGGTGGAGGAGACCTGTGAAATTACAGGCATTTGAACAGAGGAGTTGTTTTCAAAACTGTGTTCTCCAAGATCGTACTGAACAAGGGTCTCTTCTTGCTCCTGGTTTAAGTAGTCCGGTACTAGGAAATCACTAGATAAGAGGCAAAGGATAAAACGAGGAGTTAATTTTCAAACCAGTAATAAGGAAGACGCAATAAAAAGACCTGATTTGTAAAACAAGATCGGGAATTTTCATTTCTCTAATTCTTGAATGAAGATTAAACTCAAGAATTTTTAACTTTTAAACTTTCCTAAATATGAACCAAAGCCATCCATTAGAACCAAAGTATATCAACTCTCACTACCACCAAGTGGTAGATTCATTGTCACCTTGGATACCTAAATATTCTTATTTTATGTAGAAGAGTTTCTGTATACAAAATAAATACAATTAGTATGCTCATTTAAGCAAAAATAATTTGAATAATATATGCTTAACTTTTCTTGGATTATATACTCTAATTAAAAGGTATACAAACCTAGTTTTATTACTTCCTGAATAGTAAGTTAGTTAAGAAACTAAATCCTTATGCATAAATGACCTTATACAAAATCTACATAGAGAAGTATAAAAAACTAATTTATGTGTGTCCTGCTATTAGATTTGGTACATAAAAATAGTAATAAATTTCCTTTGACTCAGATTTTAAAAATGAATGCCATGAGATTAGTTACATGTTAGTCCTCAGAAAGTATTTAATTTACTCGTATAAAAAGTATTTAATATTCTTTTGATACAATAATTAAATATTTAATTACTAAAAGTAGACAGTAAAATATACCAAAATTTTAACAGTGGATATTATTCCTAAATGGCGAGATCGAAAAAGATATTTAATTTCTTATATTTAATACCTTTTTATATTTACTAAAATTTCTACTACAAGCATTTTTGTAGTTAAAACAATATTATGAAATGTCTTCGATGCTCTATTTAAATCTTTATTTCTTCATTATACTCGGAATGTCAACAACTAATACACTTAATGAGATTATTTTATAATTTGATTGCCCCGTATTAATAAAAAAACTAAAATCTGCTCATCTGCAAAGCAATTTAAGACATCTTATGTTATATTTTATAAAAAGTCTTCAAGTGTTAAACAAGAGGACTGGAGAACAAAGGGCTCTGTATAGGGAGGATACAGACGATGGGAATGGTTAATTGGGACACTATTTTTGTCCTGAACAATATTTAATATGACATGTATAATCTAAATTTAGTGATATGACAAGCAGATGGTCAGATAGAAGTGATTACATTAAACAAAATAAATGTCTGATTTGAAGAGAAAAACAAAATCTATGCAATATATTGGGAATTTATTAAAAAATAAGGTTAAAAGATAAAAGTGGTTTAAAATTTAAGATTTCATTTTATAAGAAACAAGATTCCTACAAAAGTATTAAAAATAGACAATAGATTTTCATATCTAGAGGAAATCTTAGAAAACACCTCTAAAGCTTATATTTTCTCCTCTTATTTTTAAGCTTCTTCATCTGTAAAGTGACATATTCAATCATAATAGCAGTGAGTGGCAGAGCTAGAACTAGAAACTGATTTCCTTGGATGCACTATAAATCAGAAGGTAACTATTTTAAATTATTAATATTAAAAGCATGAAGCTTTAAGCTGAAAACAAAAAAAAACTTCACTTGATCTAAATAATCATATCCATTGTAATTGCTATTGTAATTTCTTACTGTATATTCCTTTATATAAAATTTTAAAAAAGAGAAGTGGTCAAGTATTTTATTAACATCCAAAGAATCTGAAGTAATCTAATATCACTAAGTATCATCTAACATGGTAAATTTTCCAAAAAGTCTATTTAAGATCCACTACAGAATTATTTTAACTTTGTATTATTAAAAACAAGCAAATCAAAAAACAAAACAAAACAAAAAACCCTAATAGGATAGTAGTCTAGTCCTGTAGGAAAATATTTCTAATTCTAACTATAACAATATTTTTATTTGTTTATACTTAGAAGATCCAGCAAAATTTTATTAGATCGGGAGATCAGAGTATGGACAGTGGGAATTTAAAAAGAATGTGACTGATTACCTGGCAACCTGATAAAAACACAGCAGGCTGCCCTAAATGCAGGAAAAGAGAGTTTAGAAAGCAGTTTTCCTGGTTCAGTTTTCGTTGTGCACCTCACCTGCTCTGGAAGTAGTTTGCTAGCTCTGACGCTTCATGGTTCAGACTCCTCAGGTGCACGATTAAATTTCCAGAGTTGGTGAACATGGCGCCACATGTTTTGCACTCGTAAATCCGAGGCTTGCGGATAATGTGCCGGGAAACCCTCATGTGGTGTTTATATTCCCCGAAGGAAGTGAAAGTGGCACTACATATCTGGCACCGGAAACAGCGTTTACCTTCATGCTTTAGGCGATGCATCTTTAGCGAGTAAGCCCTGGTGAACTTTTTCCCACAGCGGTCACACTGAAATGGTTTAATTCCTATAAAATAAAGCAAAAGAAAATATTATCTAAAAACAAAATAAACTAAACAATTATAAACCTCACAAATTTCTGAACTATAATTCTGTAGCAACAGTTAATTTGAAAAGACAAAAATCACCACCAAAAATGAATTCCAATTCATTATCTGGAAAGGGTATAGAACACTAGAATAAAGTACTAGTGCTTTAAAAAAAAAAGAGCAGGTAGGATAAATAGGTAGCATGTACTCAGTTGATTTTTGAATATGCTTCTAAATTATCTATTTTACAGACATCAAAACACAATTTAATGACTATTTAAACAAAACCCAAATCCCCATCTCATTTATTTCATTTTATTAAAGAGGTTTATATTGCAAAGATGTGAAAACCATTAGTACCTTCTCTTCATTCCCTATGTCAGAGAAAAATGAGAAGATAAAAGAAAAATTCTAACATCTCTGAACATAATTAATGATCATGAGAGAACTATCATTTGATGACTTGGATTTTTGGGCATTTAATGTAACAGTGATAGAAAAAATATGTAGAAATTAATATCTGAATTATAAATTATATTAATGGCCACCTCCAATTCATTATCATGGTTTTGGCAAAAAATGTTTAAAAACTTCGAATTATAATCTGCTGATTTAACAAAATCATAGGGGATTGGTGTTAGTCACAGGGACTATTAGACCTATTGAAAGAAGAGGAAAGTGAGATAACAGATAAAAATGGTAGCAAAGATTTCTTACTTATCAGAGTTCATCGTTTCACTCACAAGATTGCTGTTACCTTTATGTGATCATTGAACTTAAGTTTCATCATTTATCCAAAATCTTTCATACTAAAAAAAAAACAAACAAAAAACTACAAAGCTAACTAGCTAACTAGCTAACTAGCTAGGACACAGAGAAATTCAAAATTGCAGAATTATAATTAAATTATTATTATCAGATTTAAAAAAAAAAAAACTTTGGAAATCATTTCAAACTTGCAGAGAAGTTATAAGACTAGTGCAAACACTAAAATATACCCTCCTTTTTACTCTAGTTGCTTTATCATCTGTGTTCTACTTCATACATACGTGTGTGTGTGTGTGTGTATATATATATATATACACACACACACACACACACACACACACCCCTAACATATCCAATATCTTTTTTATTTACATATTCTACACATACATTACTCTAGGTTTTAATCAGAATACTTAGGCCTATGGAAAAACGTATAGAGTAAATAGCTTTCTGATACTTCGCCATTTCGGCAATAGACCTAGGCTTATCTGTTCTCATGACTTCCCAGAGAGAGAGATATACATGCTTTTTAACTCAAAACTTCCTCTTTTCTATTTTTAATTGGGATTCAAAAATAAAATGTTTTAGAGTACTCATTTATGCCACAATAGGGAAAATGACATTACCTGAGTGGATGAGCATGTGCTGTTTTAGGTTCTGAATACGGGTGAATCGCACCCCACAAGTTGGACACTGAAAAGGTCTGTCTGGACCATTTGGGCTTGGCCGTTCTGTACTGCTGGCAGAAGGAGCAATGTAGAGTTGGTAGGGATACTGAACATTTTCCAATCTAAAAAACAGACCAAAGAAGGCAACCAGGTTCTGATTTTTAAGTTGAATAAACATTTCTGTACAACTTTAAATGAACAAAAAAACATTTAAGAGACTTTCTGAAACAGTTTAACTGGCAGATAAGTTTAATTTACAGCAATATCAAAAATGTTATTGTCCAGAATGTCAAGCATGTTAAGTTAAGCAAGGATGTATGGCTGTAGAACACATTACAAATGGTTTTACTTCAGGTACCCTTAATCTAATCCTTTCCTTCTTACTACTGCTTTAGTTTCAGTCCTCATCAATACAAGGCTGAATTAATAACTTCCTCTCTTTAGTGCCACGGCCCTCTAATCCATCTTTCTCATTGTTTCACAGTGATCTCTCTAATTCAATCAGTCCCCTGGTTAAATTCCTGCAATGGTTCACTGTTATCTTCAGAATAAAGTCTAAACCTCTTTGCAAGGCACTCCCTATGATCTGGATTCTGTGTACTTTTCTAGCCTCATGTCTTATCATACTCCTCAAAGACCCAACACCAAGCAGTTCCTCCTAACAGTTCTCTCTCAATGTAGCCTACCTTCTTTGCCGTGGTAATGCCCAGTCATTTGATGAAATGCAGTAAACTCACCTCCTCTTCCTGGAAGCCTTCTTTGATTTATCAGTGGCTTATGTAGGTACCCTCCTATGTAGAGCAATTTCACCCTCTGCAGATCACTCACTATTATCTGTTTACTTGTCTGTCTTCACCTCTTT